GAAGGCAAAAATTTTGATAGTAAATAAAAATGACTTCTCAGCAATAACTTGAAGTGTTTATGTTTATACATCGCACGAATGTCAAGCAGAAATTAGTTTGATTTGAATGAGTTTGTCGCCTCAAAACAGAGGATTAAAATTATGTCTCGGTCTTAATTTGATCAATAAAAAATTAAAGAGTGGTTGGACACGTACACTTTGATTAAAAATTTACTATGCTTGGGATAACTTTGAAGCCTCTGCAAGATTTCAAATTGTTCATTGATTAATCTTTTTGAGACAATCTGTATAAATAAATAAAAAAAGATACAGACTTATAATAAATATTTTGCATATTTTAGATAGTATTTATTCGGCAAAATTCTGAGGTGACGTCGTGATAACCCAAATATCCCGCCTTAAATTGACATGTGAAAAAAAAATTGAAAGCTTGCGATAAATTCAAAAATTCAAAATTTGGCCTTGGCTGTGATCTTCTAACAAAATGGAACCTACGTTGTGTGTTTTTTTTTTTTGTAGCGGAATGCGTTTAGATTTCAGTGGTGTACCCCAACTTTGGAAAACTACCGCTAAATAAAATACCAAATATATGGAAGACAAGTTATTACGGACGTGTAGCGGCAAATTTAAATTGTGGCAGTCAACAAAAGAACAAGAGAACAAAATTCTAATAAAAAACTATGCAGCGACGGCGGTACCAGAGCGCGATAAGAGCTTCAATTTCCTTCTAGAGCAATGCAAAATTACCCATAGGGGGCGTTGTGGCACGAGTGGAGTTTGGGGGCTTCTGGTCGTGGCTGTTCTTCCACCTCTCCGGCGATTCTATTCTGTTCACAAGCAAACTCGTGGTTGGGTCTCGACTATCTTTTGTGCAGATGGCGCGGCCGCCAGCTCGACAAGGGACCGCCCACGCCGCTTTCGCTACGTGTTGCTGTGTCATTTAACCTCAATTCCATTTAAATGTTCACTTTCTATAATTCTGACATTAAACTACAACCGAACAAGCGTTAAAGTTTCAAAAAGAGCAATAATCACCATTAAATTCGCCATATACTCTCGTGGAATTTTAAAAGAATTTTTATCTGAGATTAAGATTGGACATCAAACAATTAGCTAACTAGAAAAGAGTTATAAAAACAAAAAAACATCTGGTGTGAAATAAAACTTGTGCAGATAAAATTTACGTGAGATTAAGAACCGCAGAGCATGAAAGTTTACGTTCAATTTAAATTATAGAACAAAGAAAATTACTGAAGTTAATGTTTTGAGATAGAAAAAAATTGTATGATGTGAAAAATTGCAAAGCTAACAAAATTACATGAGTTTAATATTTTATGCTCATTCTAGTTATTGTTTAATTTTCAAAAATGAACTTATTCAGCTTAATTGTGGGCCATTGTTTTACATTTCCCCAAACAAACACATAAAAAACATAGCAGGCAATCTGGAGGTCCAAAATGGCGTCGGACGAATGCGTCGTTAAAAAAAAATGCCCCATAATGTTGCTAATTTGTTCAACGTGATTTTACAGCTCAAACATGTCCTCGGTTTGAAATTACTCTTACAACATGGCCGCAGCCAGAAAAAAGAATTTACCTGATGTTAAATTATACCACACTTTATCAACAATTCAAACAAAGAATTTACATTATGTTAAATTATGCCACACTTTACCAACGATTGAAACAAAGAATTTACAAACAAAACAATTTCCCAAACAAAATACATGATATATAAACAACACTAAATGTATCTAGCGTCGCGAGGAAAGTTCCACGTTGCGAGAGAATATATCTCGGTGATGTGATGATGATAACGATGATAACTGCCTGAAGGGAAAAATTTATAATCCCCCTTACCTCAGTCTACGATATTAGGAATTCTACCGTACTTTCCACGGTCTTTTTCCAGAGTGGGGCAACTTTAGATTAATTTAACTGCCGTAATGAACTATTAGCAATCTTGTGTGAAGAATTAAGAACTGTTATAATGTAGCACTTAAGTATAAGCACCCAGATCCTTATACATAATTTGGTACACAAAGGAAGTGTCCTGACTAAGTGAATTTCATGAAATCTCCTAACAAACGCCATATCTAAACAAACTCCAGACTGTTAAATTGTGTTAGAACTAGTTAACGACTAAACTCCTGACGTGAACTGTGAATTTACAAACAATAAAAGAAATTTACACAACGTGTTAGCGTCGCTTGAAAATTCATATATTTCCGCTTAGAAAAAAACGCAAGAATTAGCTACGCGTTTTGGGGAAACTGTGGCGTCGTCGTCGTTACGATTAATTCTCGTTAAACAAAGGCTTTCTCCTTTTTATTAACTACCAAACCAACTAAACTTAACCTAGCTAACTCACCACGTAGTTATACTCACAACAAACACACCAAAAGTCACCCTCTCCCCACCCTCTACAAAGCAAGCACGAAATTCTAATTCGAATTGGGTCACCACTACATTAACAATTTTTTCCGGGGATAAAAAAATTCAGAACTAAATTGCAAAATGTTATATAATTTTTATTTTTTTTCCAAAAACCTGAACCGTTGGGGGAACAACTCAACACCAATTTATAAACTACACCTGTAGGACTATGTTATTTTCTACAATTTAAAACCCATTTACTATGTAAAATTTTGAGGTGACGTCATCACATTATGGATGGAGATGATTATACAAAATCTGGTTACCGTTTTACCATATAAAATTTGACTATTGGTCCAGTAATTTCGGAGATTATCTGCTTAACAAATTCATCACGGACGGCGGACAGACAGACAGACGGACGGAGACAGAAGACCCATTAGACCTATAGGGGTCACGACCCATCGAGAAAATACGAAAGTAACCAGTCAGTCAAAGGGTTCGATTACAATACTTCCTTAGCTTACGTTCGAGAAGTAAAAAACAGGTCTAAGTGTTGGACCGTAATCCTCGAGCTGCTCTCATACCATTAGAAAAAGTTATTATATCGGGTACTCCAAATATGACGGAAAAAATCCGGGACGGCAGACAGATGGACAGACGGACAGACAAACAGACAGACGGACAGAAAAACAGACGGAAACGGTAGACCTATTTGTTCGTGCTGTAGGGCCGACGGACTCGATTAAAATACTTCCTTCGCTTACGAATACGAATCCATAACGCAATTTTTTACTGCTGACAAATGTCATTTATGACAATTCTTATCGGAAATTTGGACTGTCAAATAAATTTACCTTAATACATATCAGAGTTACGGAGTTAATTCTTCATCTTTGAACTTTATTATTTTCAAAAATTTGGTCCAGAGATTTTTGAAACATTTTTCTAACAACGTACCATCGAGCTTTCCAGCAATTTTTGGAACAACAAGTTATATAATTTGGAGATATTGTGAGAAAATTTGGATGCCGGTTGTCAGCTGTCAAGATTAAGAAATTGCTGACAATTTTAGACTTATAAACTAAATCCACAATATGACCTAAATTTAGAATTACTTCCGTTATACCAATATAAACGAAAAGTTCACATTTTTATTTAAACCTACTTGTGGTTTATGAATCCGTCCTGATTTTTTACCAGTTTTTAACAAAAAATCGAAATATAAAAACGACGCAACAGCACGCTCGAATATATTTAATCTAAACAACTTTAGATATTTGTTTTATTATGTTATCAAAAATAAAAATAAAAATTAATAAAAAATAAGTAAACGGGCGTAATATGAAATTTTCTTAATGAAGTTTTTGATCACATCGCCACGTTTTAAAAGGGCCAAATGTATCAATTTCGAGAGAGAGTGTTTAATGAGAATCCGTTTTTGATATCATAAATACACTGAACTGCTTCATTAATAATTTTTTTTTGAACACCTTGTATAAACGACCAGCAACCATTTTTTCAGAAAATCTTAATGTCTAGGGTAACAATTAACATATGATAGACGACAGACAAACGGAAATCGGAAAAATGAGATTTTTTTTATTTAAGCAATAAAATCAACTGTTTAATTAACTAATTTTTGTTGGGACACCTTGTATCAGCAACAATACAATCATATGAAGAAACATGTATTTTGAACATGTTAAACGAAAATGGCCTTAAAGTATGTGCAAAATTTCAGAGCAATAGTTTTTTTTTGTTTTCCATCGTGGTATTTGAATTTTTTTTCAAAAAGTTACATACCCAACATAAATTTTCTTCGCCTGAATGTGTAAATTAAAATTGTACATTTCATATTCTAGGGTATAAATGTTGCCAATTTAATTTATAATCTATATGTTGTATCACTAGACAATATTGTTGATAATGGAGATGCTTTTCACATACCAACTTTTTGTAGATTAATTTCAATTTTTCCTACACATCTGCTTCTTGGTTTAACCAAAACTTTAACCTTCATTCATAGTACAGTAGGACAAACAAAAATAACCACAAGAGTTGCCACGTATACCTCACTATAAAAGAAAAAAATAATCACCTTTTAACAAAATATAACTGTTTATGGTTTGGAACTCTTGACGCAAATAAGCTCAAATAAAATAAAAATGTAAGAAGGAAACTCAATAAAAACAGTAATTACAGAGAAAATTATAGTGTAGGATTTTTAATAATTAATCAGCTCACTGACTTTCTCCTAAATTATTAGTACAAATGAAATAATTACTCGTTCAAATAATATGGTGCAGTTTTACGTGAAGTTCACTAATTGATAGGTTTACAGAAAATAAATATCACTTACCTGTATAATTATAAAATTTATAAAAAATATAATAACCCTCATATTTTATTTTCACCCCACGAAAATTTTTGAAGGTTGCGGTGTACCATATAACGAGACAAATTCCATCAAAACGAACATTTTTCCCTCGAAAATACCAAAGAAAAGGTGACAATATATTAGAACGAGCTTTTTCACGCGTTTTCAGGATAAGTACGTTCAACTCAATGGAACACTACAACTGGCAATCAAAAATAAAACTATACATATTTCTTTTGCGAATAATGGGTCTGTGGCCCGAAGGTGACAACACCTACAAACCCGGAATCTACATGGTATACTCTTCAATCACAATATCGCTTTTCGTCATTGGCCACATATTCTTCCAAATGGTAAATGTGTATTTTATCGCCCACGACCTGGAGTCAATAGTTGGCACTTCTTACCTCCTACTTATCGAAATTCTGGCAGCAGTGAAAGCCTACTACTTAATCAAAAACATAACAATACTCAAAGAACGAATTATCACTTTTAATAGCGACTGGTTTCAACCAAGAAACACCCATCAGAGAAATCTTATCGAACCGGCGATTTATTTTTGGCAGTTGGTTTTTAAAATGTGTGTGTGCATGTCTTTTGGATGTAACGCCTTCTGGGCAATTTTTCCGATGATAGATAAACCCGAAGAAAGAAGATTACCATTTCTGGGGTGGTACCCATACGACTATAAAAAATCGCCGTATTATGAAATCACGTACTTGTATCAGGTGACAGGTATTTGGTATTTGACATGGGTTCATTTGAATGTTGACACACTAATATTTGCATTCAGTGTGTATACTTCTTGTCAGTTTGATATGTTGGCAGATAATATTAGAAATCTCGCAAATGTGGATGAGAGTTTCACTGATAGTGTGCACCACAATATGCTCAAGTGTGTAGAACACCACAAAAATAGTTTAAGGTAAATATTTAGTTGTGACGATGTTTGTTGTTAATTTTTTAACGTTTTAGTTTTATCGAAAAATCGACGAAATTTTTTAGTTGGATTTTGTTCTGGCATCTTCTGTTTAGTGGTGTTTCCATTGGAATAACTATGTTCCAACTAACAATGGTAATGTTGCTGTTGGGCACTAGTGGTTTTACTGATTTGATTTTAGGTTGTCCCTCTGTCCAACGAATTTTATTCGCTCGTTTCGTATATTCTTGCCATAACACTGCAAATATTTATGTACTGTTGGTTTGGTGAGGAGGTGCAAGCTAAGGTAATCTTGAAACGTTTATAAGTTGGTATCGATGATATTATTTCAGAGCAGCAAACTTTCGTATGCCGTTTTTGAATCTGACTGGATGGATCTGTCTGAAGAGATTAAAAAGAAATTGCTTTTTTTTGGAATGCATTTGAAGCCTGTTCGAATATCTGCTTTGAACGTGTTTTATCTGTCATTGGATACATATATGGGGGTAGATTTTGTTAATTTTATTTCAAATAACTACATGTTGTTTTTTGTAGATTATGAAAACTGCTTGGTCATATTTTGCTCTTTTGTATCAAGTGTCGTCGCCAACCTAAGTCAATAAAGAACAAAGTGATTGATGTCTAAAATAGTTTATTCATATACGCCGTTTTTTCTTGTATTTAATGTATTAAATAGCTAGACAAACTGGTGCTGCTCAACTGTACGTGCTTAATGGTCAAACGATAAACAGTCGAAGTTATCATTGCTGAGAATACATTTTTCCAGTTGGGGTCATCACAGTAAATAAAATTCACAAAATAAATTAAGGCGCGAGAGAAATTTTGTTTAAATACTTCAGTCAAGCTGTTCGCAATCACGAACTTAACAGATAATATATTTTCTGTCGATTTATTTTATTCAACGACAATGTAAATTTTTACTAATTTCTACCACACTACACCCATTATGTTTATGAACTTCTTCATTTTTCATGTAATTGCTCAAAATATCATTTATAATTTAAGTTGATAGAAAAAAAATGGTCTAAGCTTATTTATACAAAACTTACCTCGCCTCTCAAGCACAGTCCAACAAATCCAACTTTTTCGAAAATTAAAAAATTTTTTGCTAAATCGTATTTATTTTATTGTAACCATATATCTTGTATTTTAATACACTTAGCGATAACTACAATAACCGGATCACCGTATGATAGTCAAGATTTTTTTAATGCTTCCTTTTCAGCTTATTAAATAAAATATTGCATTTTATTTTGTGATGTTGTAATTTATATTTGGTTATTTAAAACTTCTCTAGGACTAGGAGAGGCTCATGAAACGTCGAAGAAATATGGAGGTACCAAGTCGACTAATGGATTTGATTACTACACTTCCTTAGCTTACGCTCAATAACTAAAAATGGTTTCTTAGCAATAACTTGAAGTGTTTATGTTGATACATTGCAAGACAAGAATGTCAGGTAGACATTACTTTGACTAGAATGAGTTTCTCACCTTAAAACAGAGAATTAAAATTATTAATTAAGCCACAATTGAACAAAGTGTAATGAATATTATTATTATAATTCTTATTTAATCATCATTAAATAAAGACGTGCATATTCTTACATTTTCGAGAAAATGGGGGTGAATCGTTCTTAATTTGATAAATAAAAAATTAGTCAGTGATTTTTTTAATTTTAATTTATCTAATGTAAAAAAGATGATTAGAGAGATACATTTTGATTAAAAATTTACTATGCTTGCGATAACCTTGAAACGACAGCTAGATTTCAAAGCATTCGATTTTGCAGTTCCTGAGTAAAACCATAAAATTAATTTACACATTGATTATCTTTTTTGAGTCACCCTATAAATGCAATACTAAAAAATGAAGGCAATGATAGAGCACGAGTTTTGACTCATCATATTTTGCACATATTCGAAAAGATTTACTGGGTAAAATTTTGAGATGATGTCATTAAGTTTTCGGGAAAATTAGCAGATATATTTGGGCTAAAAATTTACACTGTGTTAATTTAAAATTTCTAAACATTTCTGCTGATTTAATCAATAAAATAAACTGACTCATTCATTAATTTTTTTGAAGTCATCCTGTATAAGCAGAGCTGTTCAAAGTACTCAAAAAAAGTACTTGAAGTACCAAGTACAAAGTACTACTTGAAATAGTGTTCAAGTAAAGTACCAAGTACTTACTTTCAGCAAGAGTATTTCAAGTATCAAGTACTTTTCAGATGTACTTGAAGTACAAGCCAAGTACATTACTTCAAGTACTTACGAGTACTTGAAGTACTGGAGGTATACTTCAAATACTTACAAATACTTGAAGTACTGAAAATGCTTCAAGTACTTTCTAATTATTTGAAATACTATAGAATTAGATAAATTTTCCTGTTTTTTTAAAAAAGCTTAATATATTTTAGAACTGAATTTTTTAATATTCAGAATTTAAGTATACAATAATACATATTTCGCCACATAAAAAATTGCATAAGCATCAACTTAAATGCAGAATGGTAGCTCACTTATTAATAATACTATGTTATTTATAAACAATATTCTTTTGAAATACTTTTACATCTTTCTGTTGACACAATGCCTTCGACAAAATTAACGTATATTTCTAATTTAAAATTTAAAATGAAATACATGACGGCGTTGTCTATGTATGCTTACTATTAATTTATAACAAAAACATCGGCGCTGTATGGTATTTTCTCAGGCTTCTGTTGCCTTTTTTTAATATTTTGAATTTTGGTCCACCACCAAAACGTTCTGATTTTTTAATAAAGTTGTGTTAAAAATATATGAGTTTTATGAACCGGTTCCGTGTTTAAGTTTGTGGGTAGTTTACAGCACCCTTAATCATTACCCATTGTGAAAGTGCACAGGGCCTGATTTGTGAAACTGAAATTTTTCAGAAAAAAATTTTTAACATAAAATTGTGCTATTGCTATGTGATTGCTATTATAATAAAAGGGATAATCCCCTGCCGAGTTCTCCGCCCTGACCAGGCTTCTTACTGACAAATACACGACGGGGTTAAGAAACTAATGAAAGAATAAATATCTTTTTGAACGAGTACTGAATCATTTCTCAAATATTTTCAAATCCGACCTTGCACTTTAGCAGGTACGTCAACAAACCCGATTCCCTTTGGGGTACCGGGAAGGTACTGAAAAACTACCCGCAAAGTTAAGTTCCGAACCAAAATACAAAAAAGACAAATCTCGTATATTCACAACTTTACATCGCTGAAAATTTTACACAGATTTCCGACCCTTCTGCTGTCGTCATCCACTCTCAAATGACATATTTATGACATTAATTTTCTTACCTACCTATCTATCGGCATTATGCAAGTACCTATGAAATGTATGTCATATTGTGGATAAGATATCCACAATCACAGATCAAAATATAACCTCACAGGAAACAAACACGATTTTACTATTAAAAATACATCTAATCAAATAATTGAATTAATAACTTCAAGTATTTAACAGACCCTATTTTGAGATGTGAAAACTTCGTAAAATAGAGACTAAAGTATTTGAAATTTCCACTTTCATACTTCAAGTAATTCAAGAGTATTTAAAATACTGAGTGAAGTACTTGGAGTAAAGTACTTGGCAAAATCAAGTACTAAACTCAAGTACATTTTAGAAATACTGCAAGTACCAAGTACCAAGTACCTAAATATAAAAGTACTTCAAGTAAAGTACTTGAAGTACTTAAAGTACTTGAAGTATTACTTCAAGTACTTTTACTTGAAGTACTGAACAGCTCTGTGTATAAGTAAATGTAAAAAATATGAATGGAAACATAAATCACAAGTATATACTCATCATATTTTGCCATTTTAAATGGTATTTATTCGGCAAAATTTTGAGGTGACGTCATCAATCCAAAATTAAATTGTAAAATCTTATTATATAATTTTGAATTTTTTCAAAAAATCTGGACGTTTCGGATAAAAACTCAAACCGGAGTCATAACTACAACTATACTATGTTATTTGATACAATCTAAAAGCCATTTACTATGTACAATTTTGAGATGCAGTTATCACATTATTGGTGGGGATAAATAGATATATAGTAATAAAATTTGACAATAATCAGTTGAGTAATTTTGGAGATTATCTGTCTAATAAAAATCGTCACAGACGGCGGACAGACAGACAGACAGACGGAAACTGGAAACCCATTTTTTCGTACCATAACCCATTGAAAAAATACGAGAACAACAATTGGTTATTGATAGTTTAATAATGATTTACTAGAATACGATCGACAACGTAATTTTTCACTTGTGACAAATGCCATTTTTGACAATTCTTATCGGAATTTTAGATTGTCAATTGAATTTACATTAACACAGATCAGAACTACGAAGTTAATTCTTCAAGTTTGAGGGTTAATAATTAGGTTCAGAGATTTTTTTAACCATTTTCTTAACCACGTACCATCGAGCTTTTCCGTCATTTTTGGAACTCTGTTCGAACCGAATTTTTCTCGGGATCACAAATCGGCCTTCATTTTTTTCTACAGGTCATCAAATAAGAGAGAAATAAAATTTTAATCTGGCGCCTCCACCATTTCTGCACCAAATTTGAAAGTTGCTCAAATTCTCCTGAAAGAGAAAGCGAATTTTCTCGGATACACAAATCTACACTTATATTTCCAGTAGATCTCCAAATTAGGGAGAAATTAAATTTTATTCTAGCGCCTCCACCATTTTTCATCAAAGTTGAGTGTTGTTCAAATTCTCCAGTAAAACAATCTATCCGAACCGAAATTTTCTCGACATAACAAATCTGCCCTTATTTTTTCTCTAGGTCGTCAAGAAAGGGAGAAATTAAATTTTATTTTACCGCCTCCACCATTTTTCCACCAAAGTTGAAAGTTGTTCCAACGGTGCCGGGAAAGGTTTTATCCGAACCGAAATTTTCTAGGGACCACAAATTTTCCCTTATTTTGCCAGTAGGTCTCCAAATAAGGAAGAAATTAATTTTTATTGTGGCGCCTCCACCATTTTTTCATCAAACCTGAAAGCTGCTGAAATTCAACAGGAAAAGGTTCTACCCGAACTGAAATTTTTTCAGGATCACGGATGTGCCCTAATTATCGATACATATTTAATAAGGCTCTGCAGATGTGGGGATTGATTTGGCGCCATTGCAAGGATATGAGCTCTCATGCACTTAAAGTGCTATATTGCTCTCTCGTGCGTTCTGTTCTGGAATATGCTTCTTCAGTTTGGCATCCAACATGCGACACTCATATTTCATTGTTAGAGCGTGTTCAAAAAAAGTTTTTGAGGTCTATTGAATTTAAAGAACATCATCTACATCAACAAGGTGAATATGAATGGGTCATGAGCTTCCTCAATATTAAATCCTTGGAGATACGTAGAGATATAACGGATTTATGTGTTCTTCACGCCATTATTAACAACCATATAGATAGTAATGACTTATTAGCCAAACTAATGTTTAGGGTTCCAAATAAAAACTGCAGAACTACTAGATCTTGTAAAATTTTCAGAATTAACAAAGCATCTACTAATATGTCAACTAACCACCCATTGCGAAGAATGATGAAACAAGCAAACGAACTATCTAATTTTGTAAAATTTGATATTTTTAACTCAAACCTTGTTGTATTTAAGAGAATGATAAATAATCTTGTATAATTCGGATAATTTAAAATTGTTTCTTTTTGTGTTTATTGTATGATCATTGTTATAAAGATAATTAATTAAGTTAATCATATACCTTATGTATTTGTAAGTTTAATTTTCTTACTTTTTGTAATTGGAGTTATTCCGTAATAAACTAATAATAATAATAATAATAATAATAATAATAATAATAATAATAATAATAATAATAATATGCGTAATGATAGAAGTCTTGCCTGAATGCCGGTCATTTCCGGGTCAGTGGTGGGTCTTAATAATAATTTTTCTTGTAGATTCGCAAATAATGGAGAAATTAAATATTATTTCAACGCCTCCACCATTTTTCATCAAAGTTGAGTGTTGCTCAAATTCTCCAACAAAACAATCTATCCGTACCGAAATTTTGTTGACATCACAAATCTGCGTTTATTTTTTCTATAGGTCGTCAAAGAAGGGAGAAATTAAACTTTATTTTAGCGCCTCCACCATTTTTTCACCAAAATTGAAAGTTGTTCCAACGCTTCCGGAAAAGTTTCTATCCGAAGCGAAATTTTCTAGGGAACAGAAATTTTCCCTTATTTTGCCAGTGGGTCTCCAAATAAGGAAGAAATTAATTTTTATTGTGGCGCCTCCACCATTTTTGCATCAAACTTGATAGCTACCAAGATTCGACCGGAAAGGTTCTATCCGAACTGAAGTCTTTTCGGGATCACGAATCTACTCCAATTTTTCCTATAGGTTCTCAGATAATGGAGAAATTAAATTTCATTCTAGCGCCTCCACCATTTTTCGTCGAAGTTGAATGTTGCACAAATTCTCCAGCAAAGCAATCTATCCGTACCGAAATTTTCTCGACATAACAAATTAAATTTTATTTCAGCGCCTCCACCATTTTTTACCAAAATTGAAAGTTGTTCGAACTCGCCCGGAAAAGGTTGTGTCCGAACCGAAATTTTCTAGGGATCACAAATTTTCCCTTATTTTGTCAGTAGCTCTCCAAATAAAGGATGAATTAAGTTTAAATGTGGCGCCTCCACCATTTTATCACTAAATTGAAAAGTTCGTTAAATTTTCTGTCCGAACTGAATTTTCCTCGGGATCGCGAATCTGCGTCTATTTTTCCTGTAGGATCTCAAATAAGTGAGAAGTGTGAAATTTTATTAATTTTTAGATATCACCCATATGTTGAAAAAAATAGATAATACCATTTACAATATAAGAATAAACTTCGATCTCGCAATATCCGCGCAATTTGTTCGATTCAACTTCCACTACATTTCACCGCTAAGCTCTAAGCTAAATATTAATTTAAATCTACCAACCTTAATCTTGACGCTAGTGTCATCATCAAATTGTTGATTAGACAACATTTTCTAGTGTTATGTTATCTACACGATATTTCTAACAAACAGACGACGGGCAACAGACGACAGACAGTTACAACAAGGAGAGACAGAACTGTGTAAAATTAAAATTAAGTTAAGCAAATTTATTTTCTACTTATTTTTTAATATCTTTCATCGCCTGAGTGAACAAATGAAAATCAAGAAAAATAATTTACTTGTGGCTATAAAAATAAGCCAAAGCAAAATTCCAAAAGTAAAAAAAATTACACCTCTTAGCCCATTTCCTTTGTTAATAACATTATTGACAACTCATAATTTTTTTCCGAAGTTAACTAAAATAATAGTCTATGAAATACGTTTTTTTAGAAGAGTCAAAAAAAATTTAAAGTTGGTAGCCCAATTTTGTAAAAAGCACTACAATAATTGATCAAATTCGACAAGAAATAGGGAAATTAATAGAAAGGAAATTATTTTAGAAATTTTCTGAAATTCATAAAATCGGACAGCACTGCAACTTCAAAAATATATTTTTGTCTTAATTTTTCATTACAAAAATATTTGCTAGTATCAATACAGGCATCTGATTCCAACTAAAAACAGATGGATTACATCATAGACTTCAGTAAACTCTTGTTAGGAAAGTAATTTTTTAACAAATTTTATTAACAATGAAAAAGTTATAATGTGTTCATTTTATTGACTAATTCTGAAAAATCTCCGACTTTCGTAATTATTAATATGTATCTAAAGCAACAAATTTTGTTTTTTTTTTTTCTCAAACTGAGGTAATTTTGAAAGTCTTTCAAGTAAAAATATTTAAAGTAACTGTTTATTTTTTTACCCTACGGGCTTAAAAAGATTATTGACACTACAATTTTTTTCCCTAGTTAACAAAAACCAAATAAATACATTTTATAAACTAAATAACTAATTTTTCTTTCCTTTACCCCATCCCCCATTGCCCCAGCCTTACTCTTGTCCTCTCGACTTCTTTCATCCATTCCACCCCTCTTCCGCCTTCATTCAATATCTCTGTCACACTCTCCTCTCTTTCTGTGCTCTATCGTCTTTCGCCCTTCTCCACACATCCTACACATTCTCTCACCTTTGCTTAGCCAAAACTTATTATTTCTTTCTTCATTTCCACACCTAAATCTCGCAATTATTTTTTTTTCTTTCGCGCTTTCTCTGTCTAGGTACTTTGGTATTGTTTCTGTTATTATCATTCTATAGTCTGCATTGTACCTAGAATTACTTACACTCGCTATGTCTCTGTCACGCATACACAACTCTTCTCTCATACTCACCCCCATTTCTCTCTTCTCTCTATTTCCATCCATGCGTATCCCAGTCTTTCATAATATCCTTGTCTACCCTTGTGAAGTTCTTTCCCTGTTTCCTTTTTTTTTCCTTATTATATATAAAATATTTCAGTAATTTGAAATAACGGAAAATAATGTTATAATAAAATATACAAATAAACTTATATGAAATTAATGTAAAATCACACAATTATTCACAACATAAATTTTTACGTACCAACTTTTTTAAAATTAATTTTGATATTTCCAGGCATCCATTTTTCCGTTTAACCAAAAATTTTAAACCTTATTTACGGTATAGCACACCAACAAAAACAACAGTTTGGCGACGTAATACAAACTAACGTAGTCACCCTTCAAAAAAATTTAATTGTTCAATCTTTAAAAGTCTTACAAGAAATACTCTCGAGCCAAATAAAAAGTATCTGGGCACTTAACCACGGCAATAATTACAGAGATAATTATCGTGTACGACTTTTACTAATTAATCAGCTTACTTACTTTCTCCGAAATTATTAGTACAGATGATACAATTGCCCTCCAAAATAATACGGTTCAGTTTTACTTCGGGTGCACTAATTGATAGGTTTAACGAAAAATAAATAGTATTTACCTAAAAATTACGGTCATCTTAAACGGTAGAATGTATATAATTAGACGGTTTATAAAAACCTCTTAATACCAGTGTTTTATTTTCACCCTGAGAAAATTCTATAAAGAGATAAAAATCATCACGACGAACATTTTTCGTCTGAGCTCCGACTAGAAAAGATCGAAATTTACCATGTGATTATTGTTGATATTACTACTACAATATCACAAATTACAAGCTTTTAAGCACAGTCCACCCTCCACTATGGAAAAATACAAGTGGCAATCAAGAATTAAAATGAACATAATTCTGCTACGAATCATGGGTCTGTGGCCCGAAGGTGACAAAACTTACGAACCCGGATTCTACATGGTATATTGTTCAATCACAGTATCACTTTTCATCTTCGGACACCTATTCTTTCAAGTGGTAAATGTCTATTTCATTGCTCACGATTTGAAGTCAATAGTGGCAACTTCTTACGTCTTGCTTATTGAAATTATGGGAGGAGTGAAAGCGTATTATTTAATCAAAAATATGAAAATACTCAAAGAAAGAATGATCATTTTTAAGAGCGACTGGTTTCAGCCGAGGAACACTCAGCAGCGAAATCTCATCGAGCCCACCATTTACCTTTGGACGACGGTTTATATGGTGTTTTTGAGCATGTGTTTTGGATGTAACACCTTCTGGGCGATTTATCCTATGATGGATAAATTCGAAGAGAAGAGATTACCGTTTCTGGGGTGGTACCCATACGATTATAAAAAGTCGCCGTATTATGAAATCACTTACATATATCAAGTGATAGGCATTTGCTATCTGTCTACAGTTCATGTGAATGTCGACAAACTGATATCAGCATTCAATGTGTATACTTCTTGTCAGTTCGACATGTTGACAGACAACATTAGGAATCTGGCAAATGTAGATCAGACATCTAGTAATGATGTGTATGACAACATGTTAAGGTGTGTAGAACACCATAAAAATATCTTAAGGTGAGTGAGTTTAACAATGGTTTGATGGTAGTTTTATCTGTATTTTCAGGTTTATTGAAAGCTCGACGAAATTTTTCAACTGGATTTTATTTTGGCACCTTTTGTTTAGTGGTGTCTCCATTGGGATAACTATGTTTCAGCTAACAGCGGTAAATTTGTGCTTAGTTGTGAATGTTTCTCAAGGTGTTAGTTACAGGTTGTCCCTCTCTCCAACGAATTTTACTCTCTCCTTTCGTATGGTCTTGCTATAACTGTTCAGATATTTATGCATTGTTGGTCTGGAAACGAGGTACAAGCTAAGGTAATCCTGTAGATATTTATACGCGTAAATATTAATAATTTTATTTCAGAGTAGTAATCTTTCATATGCTGTATTCGAATCCGACTGGACTGATCTACCTGAAGATATTAAAAAGAAGTTGCTTTTTTTCACCATGCATTTAAAACCTGTTCAAATATCTGCGTTGAATTTGTTTTATCTTTCATTGGATACATACATGAGGGTAATTATAATTAATAGCGAATTATTTCTTCAAATTATACTTTTTTTTTGTAGATTCTGAAAACTGCTTGGTCATATTTTGCTCTTTTGTATCAAGTGTCGTCGCAAAGTTAAACAAATAAAGCATACAATGTTTTAGAATACACTAGAGAAGTTCAATTAGATCTGTGATTTAAAATTCTGAATTATATGTCTAGTATGGTTGGGTAACACAAAAGTCCACTACTAACAGTGCTATAATCAAGACAAAAAAATTGGTGTCTGACATGTTACACAAAAATTGTATTCATCATAATTTGGAACACATGGAAAAGTTATTAGGAAAACTATTCCAAATTCCGTGTAAAAAATAATAAAATTTTCACATTACTGTTATTTTTTTTTATCCTTGACTGATATGTCTTCCAAATTATATTTTAGTTACTTAATCAAACCATTTTTAACTTGTGTAGGGAGTCTAGTTAAAATTGGTGCTATTCCTGAAAACGACACCCTCTAGATTTACTAATTATAAAGTTTTACTTCAGAATATTTTTTCAATGTTCACCCTATATAATCAAATCCTTTATCTCCATAGGAATAAGATTTATGACTATGATTCATCTTTATTTAATTTAATCCTCCAACATAAAAGCCATTTGTACCTATATGGTAAAATCTCTTGTTTACTTTGTACTCGCATGTTCGACGACATTCAAAACTATGATTGAAATATCGCAGTTTTTAGAAATTTCAAAAAATTCCAATTTCACACATAACTTTTCGAAAATATTGCTCAGCTATATATAAACACGCTATTTTGGTGGAATCAGCACGTCAAGATCTACATCCCGGAATTTTTTGGGAATTTTTAACAAGTTTTTTAAAAAAGAAATTTTATACTATATATACCCCCCTTATACAAATTTTGACCCAGTGTCGATTATTTTCTAAATTTTCTTGTAGATTTCGGGCTGCAGAAGTCACTTCAGACCCCATTTCCTCAATCGGTCTAACCGTTTTTCAAAAATAACCCATTGAATATGGCAATTTTTAGAAATTTCAAAAAATCGAATTTTACACCGAATATTTCCAAAATATTGCTCCGTGATCATAAACACATACATCCCAGAAATTTTACACTACGTAATTAAGAGTGATTTTGGCACTTTTGACAGAAGAACACAGTTAGCCCCGCCCACCCACCCTGCCTTTTTTCAGTGACTGATTTTATCCAAAATGAATGACATTAGTGATTTTGAACAGAAATAAAATTAGACGTTAGAATGAGAAGAGGGGGTGGGCGGGGTTAGTACTTGCTAAGATAAGACTGATTTTGGCAAATGACATACTCCCGAAGAAAACAGATGGTGGGTGGGCGGGGCTTGTATTTGATAAGATAAAAGTGATTTTGGCACTTTTGACATTTTCTACCATTTTTCAACTAATTTGCTTCTCTGACCATCTACACGCTACATTTATGGAATCAGTACGTCGAGATCTACGAATTTTTGAGAATGTTTAGCCAACTTTTTCAACAAAGAAATTTTACATTATGTATTTGATAAGATTTTGGTACTTTTGGCATTTTGTACCATTATTCAACTATATCCAAAAATTAGTTGAAGATATTTTTTTATAGATTTCGATATCCAGAAGTCATTTTCAGGGTCGTTTCTTTAAAAATTTGGGACAATAGAGAAGTCAGGGCAGATCACATTATGTCAAGTCAGGTCAGGTGCATGGAATGAGAAATAAATTTTGTAAAATAGTATATCAAAAAAGGTGTGATTAGCGTACTTTTTTCAGATTCTAGATTCTATTACACATTAATTTCCACTCCCACTCGACAAATGAACACAATTAGCCCCGCCCACCCACCCTGCCTCCTTTTCCCTTATACTGAACAGAAATAAAATTAGTCGATAGAATGAGAAGAGGACGGGTAGGCGGGACTAGTACTTGCTAAGATAAGACTGATTTTGGCAAATGACATATTTTCCAAAAAAATGGGGGGTAGGTGGGCGGGGCTAGTATTTGATAAGATAAAAGTGGTTTTGGCACTTTTGACATTTTCTACCATTTTTCAACTAATTTTCTTATGGAAATTTCGACCCAATCTTGACCCTTTTCGAAATTTAACTAAATAGTTTCTCATTTCTTTGATCACTCACGTGTTTCCAGAATCATTCATTGTTTTGAACTTTCAAAATATTCTAATTTCACACCGAATTTTTCGAAAATATTGCTTGGTGATCAATACCACGTTACATCTTTGGAATTAGCTCGTCGAGATCTACATCCCAAAATTTTTTGAGAATTTTTAACCAACTTTTTAACAAAGACATTTTACACTATGTATTTCATAATGACAAGATAAGAGTGATTTTGATACTTTTGACATTTCCTACCATTTTCAACTAATTTTCTTATACAAATTTCGACTCAACCTCGACCATTTTCGAAATTTAACTAAATAGATTTTTTCTAGATTGTAGACCGCCGAAATCACTTCCGGTCGCATTTCTTCCATCACTCTAACCGTTTTTCCAGAATCGCCCATTGAAATATCCCAAATTTTAGAAATTTCAAAAAATTAGAATTTCACCCGAATATTTCGAAAATATTTCTACGTGACTACAAACATACACATCCCAGAATTTTTTGAAAAATTTTGGCAACTTTTATAAAAAACAAATTTTACACTATGTATTTCATATCACAAGGGAGATTTTGGCACGTTTGACATTTTCCACCATTTTTCAAATATGTATTTTCGAAAATTAGTTGAAGGCATTTTCCTGTAGATTTCGATATCCAGAAGTCATTTTCAGCTTCGTTTCTTCGGACATTTGAAGTAATAGAGAAGTCAGGACAGGTCAGGTCACGTTACGTCAAGTTAGGTCAGATGCATAAAATAAAAATAAATTTTAATCCAAACAGCATATCAAAAAGTTACGATTACCGCTTTTTGGTAATTTTTTCAGATTATAAATTCTATTACACATTAATTTCCAGTCCCATTCGACAAACGAACACAATTGGCCCCGCCCACCCACCCTGCCTCCTTTTCATTGATTCATTTTATCCAAACTGAATGAAATGAATGACCTTATACCGAACAGAAATAAAATTAGTCGTTAGAATGAGAAGAGGACGGGTGGGCGGGATTAGTACTTGCTAAGATAAGACTAATTTTGGCAAATGATATATTTCCCGAAAAAATTGAGGGTGGGTGGGCGGGGCTAGTATTTGACAAGATAAGAGTGATTTTGGCACTTTTAACATTTTCTACCAGTTTCAACTAATTTTCTTATGCAAATTTCGATCCAACCTCGACCATTTTTAGATTTTTTTCTAGATTTTGGACCGCCGAAATCACTTCTGGTCGCATTTCTTCGATTACTCTAACCGTTTTTCCAGAATCGCTCATTGAAATATCCCAAATTTTAGAAATTTCAAAAAATTAGAATTTTACACCGAATATTTAGAAAATATTTCTACGTGAATATAAACATACATCCCAGAAAACTTTTGGGCAACTTTTATAAAAAAAAACTAATTTTACACTATGTATTTGATAGCACTAGGGTGAGTTTGGCACGTTTAACATTTTCCACCATTTTCAACTATTTTCGAAAATTAATTGAAAACATTAATTTCTTGCAGATTTCGATATCCAAAAGTCATTTTCAGCTTCGTTTCTTCGGAAATTTGAGGTAATAGAGAATTTAAGACAGGTCAGGTCACGTTACGTCAAGTTAAGTCAGATGCACGGCTGTGGAATAGATAGGTTGAGAATCTTTCATTCATTCACGTTCCGGTAGGTGGAATAATTTCTTTCCGTACCAGTTGGCCGCGCGTTTTCAAATGGGTCCCTCTTACGGTATTTAGAGGCATTAATTTTTGTCACATCAAAAGGACACGATTATACCGACATAAATGACAGCTTTGACATTTAATCAAAGCATTTAAAAATAATCTAATAATACTATTAAACGAGCAAAGTTTGTATATATATATATTTATATATATATATTGTAACACTTGCAAACCATCGCGTTTATTAGAGGCAACCGACGCATTTTTCTGATGGGAACTTTTCCAGAAAACGAAGATGTCATTTCTGTTGAATAATGGTTTATTACTCCGTCCCATCTTACTACCCAAAACTCCGAAATTACCCTGCAATATCCGTCCGTACCTAAGTTCCCAAAAATCCCCATAGACCGAGCACGTTTTCGGTTTGATGCACTTTACACAATGGGCCCCAGCAATAACGTGGAATCCCATCGTTTAGAGCTATGAAATTGAAACGTTCTTGATCGAAGCCATTAAGCACCAGATATGTCAGTCTTTGCGCGGAACTTATTCGTAAAGATAGATGGTTTTCCTTGATTGTAGATTTAATAATTGTAAATAGTAATAGGGTTTTTGAGAAAAGAGCTTTAGTTTCGGCCGGACAGATTGTCTCACTTCCGGATTTGTAGAGGCGTGTTTTGCATTGCCGCCTCGAGCATGGG